TGTAGGTGCTCCCTTGTAGGTAACCAACTGCTTTTCTCTTGCTGCTTTTAATGTTCTCTCTTTGTCTTTTGCTCTTGGCATTTTAATTATGATGTGTCGCGGTGTGGTCCTCTTTGGATTCCTTTTGTTTGGGTTTCTGTGCACTTCCTGGACTTGTAAGTCTATTTCTTTCACAAGATGGGGACATTTTTTTGTCATTATTTCTTCAAATATATTTTCAATATCTTGCTTTCTCTCTTTTTCTGGCACCCCCATAATTCTGATGTTGGTACACTTGAAGTTGTCCCAGAGGTATCTCCCCCACCCTGCATGAATTTCTTGCACCAGGCCTCTAGTAATAATGACTGTGACAAAAATGGCAATATTATAAGATTCACTATTCAACCAGATAGTTTCCAACCTTAAGATTTTATACTTATAAATGAGTTCCCTCAGGGGGGGAAATATATATATAAAGTGTTAACTTGTGTCTATATATATTTAAGTTTTAAATGTCTTATATTATTTTTTTCTTTACTGAAGATTTCCTCCTTCCATACCTTTTTCCTTTCATTCTTTCCTTTTTTCTACCCATCATTCCTTCTTTCCCTTTTTTTCATGTTAATATATAATAGGTTAAAATTGTGAAATATAGAAAATATAATTTAAAAAAATAATAAAGCCAGGCTTCTTTGGCTCAGCAGTTGAGCATCGAACTATGAACCACAAGGTTACAGTTCGATTCCTGATCAGGGCACAGGCCTGGGTTGCAGGCTAGATCCCCAGTGTGGAGTGTGTAGGAGGCAGCCGATCAATGATTCTCTTTCATCATTGATGTTTCTATCTTTCCCTCTTCTCTCAGGAATCAATAAAACATGTATTAAAAAATAAAAATAATAAAATCTATGTATACATTTCTCTTCTATTAACACTGCATAATGGAAAACGAATGAATAATTAGCATAACAGATGTGGACAACATATTGGACTCCTGAAACTCATTTGCAAGATTTGCTCACTATTTAGAAAGTCAGGGCAATGACCAGTTCAGCTGAAATTTTGCTGCTGCTGCTAGTTTATAAAGGACTCTAGAGAGTGTATTCCAAAATTAGTATATTAATCTGTAGTCATGGTTAATAATATCAACGGAGAAAAAGTATTAATTGTTTGTTTTTTGTTTTTACCCCAGCTGCTTCACATTCTCATTTTATAGTACCTACATTGGTTCATGTAAGGTCTCCTCGTGTGTGTGTGTGTGTGTGTGTGTGTGTGTGTGTGTCTGTTGTTTATTCAGTCATCTATTAACTCATTTCTTTGTTATCTCATTTTCTTTTCCAATTCCCTTCTTTCTTCCATAAGCAACTATTATAATTTATGTGACGTATTTATTTGTAAAATGTGTAATGTTAACTTGTGTCAATATTATTTTTATGTATATAAATGTCTTTGCCCTATAGATCGGATCCTGTTTCTCACTTGTCTTTACTTAGCAAATGATTTTAAGATGGTTTCACCTTTTGACCTCAACACCTATTATATCTGTTTCCTGCAAATTCTGTGGAGTGATTACATTGTGAGCATTTCTCCCTCTCATTGACCATTTCTCCTGAAACTTCCACCTCTGACAAATAGATACTCAAGAAAATTTCCAAGTCATAGGGTGTACATGTGCTTAATTTAACAATGTTGTACCACATTGCCCTCCAGAGTGGTTGCACTTATCTGCATCTCCATCAAAATAGATACTTATATAAGTTGTAAATAAACAGATGTTTTTTGGGTGTTTTTTTTTTTATATAGTCTTTTCACATCATAGAATGGGAATGAAGTTGAAAAACCACCTACCAAATATATTTCTCTTGAAATCCCATAATCCCACACATGGTATTTTCTGGCTTTTGATCTTTTTGAATGATAATAGTTAAGTATCATGTCATTATTGCTTTAATTTGTACTTTCTAATTACTAATGAGTATGGACTTATTTTCATATATTTATAACACTTTAAAATTTCATGTGAATCATCTTTATTTTACTCATTGCCAAGATATTTCTTTTTTTTCTAGTGGAGTGTATTTTATTACTTTATACGCTAATATCTTATGAAAGCATAAGATATTAGCGTATAACAACATAAAGATGGTGATCATTATAAAGGTGATGAATTGTGTATCACATGCCACATACAAGGAACTGAAAAAATATCTTTTAAATAAATAAGTCTTGAGCTTTTGTGTGATATATGAGTGGATGTACAATAATCTATAAAAGTTTAACTGTTAATTCAATAATTTTAATATATAGATGTTTTTGAAGTATTGGCCAATATTAAATATGGACAAAGAAATAACAAACATGAAATTTTGTGTTATAAAGATAAGAATAGCTTTTGAAAGTTTGAGGAACATATAAAATTAAGTAATCTCATAAAATATGAAAACACATTTGAGAATCTTTTATGTTGATTGTTTTTTTAATTCCAAAATCAGCTCATTAGTATAATTTTAAATGTTGATAATCTTTTAAATATAAGATTTTGAGCACTAAATCCTATTGTCACTGTTGCACATTTGGCAAAAAAATTTAGATTATCTTAGTTTTCCTAATAGAAATTATTAGAATAGGTACTTTATAGAAATATAATTGAAGAATTATCCGAACACTCTCAAAGTTGAACAATTGGCTAACATACATGTTGATAAAATTTAAATACTATAAAAATGTAATTATTTGCTCAAAATGCTAAGTAATAGATTTAACCACTTATGTGTACACTATCTTCCAGGAATTATTTCTCAAAGTCAGAGTAAAAAGTTATATGAAGTTTGAATAAGCTTACATTCAAATCAATTAAATGGTAAAATATTACTTTAGTGAGCTGTATTTCCATGTAATATAATAATTTTCAACAAATTTTTACATGCATTTTATACAATAGAATTTTACAATTTACCTATTTTTCTAACTGTATTTGATGTCGCATGATATTTAATTTGCAAACTATTAAAATCATCTTATGACTTGATAAGGAGTTATTTATATATTCACTTGGTTATTGTAGTGTGGTTTTGTAGAATTTGTAGGAAGTTGGAGTGGCAATGCAAAGAGGAAGTGTTAACTAAATTACTCTGTTCAAGTAGTCACGTTCCCTGTATTATCTGGTACTCACCATTGGAACCAAGAATAAGGATAAAAGAACTGGAAAAATCTTTGAACTATAGTATTTCACCATCTCTGGTGGGAGACTGAGTGAATGGGAAAGTTTAGCAGAGCATATTATATAGTTCACAATCTCAGATAAATACCTAGGCAAGACCCTAGTTTTCTGTATTTTTTCCAGTAATGTTATTGATGATTCTAAACAGTTTTGTTTTGTTTTTATGACTACAAGCATTTTTTTATTACACTAGATAATTATGTTTTGTAAATTTGCACTATTATTTTTGAGATGTGAAAAATAAACAGGTAAATCCAACAGAAGTAGCATTAAGATTATGCAGCTGCTTCTTTTCATAGAATATTCTCTACAGAAAAGTGACAATGCAATTCCTGGATTATAAGACCATTAATTTGTTTCCATTCAAACTCATCTGTCATAAATAACTCTTACTTCTTAATAAAGGAAAAAAATGTGTGTTTTTCCTCTTTCAGTACTAATTTTTTCCTTAGTCGGGTCACCACTGTCTTTTATGTTATTTTCTCATTTTATGTGTACAACAGCCTGGGATTGTTGAAATAAACCTAAGGTCCATCTGAAGATAAAGTTTTCTTGGAGTAAGTTATGGAAAAGTTGTTTTGTTTGTGTAATTGTGGGCATTTTTATAGACTTCTTTTGCCACTTCACTAAAAGCATTTCCCTTACTTGCTTGCAACTGGTAATATGTTTTTCAATGTTTGTCAAAATCATTAAATATGTTAAAGACTCAACCATTGAAATCAGAGTTGAGCAATAGGTAACTTCACATAGGCATCTGTGAAGCACATTGAAAATGTAATTTATCAATAAGTATTTATTTTTATTTCATTATCGCCTACTATGACATACATACATTTTTTCCTCAGGTAAAGCTGGTAGCCTTCATAAATATGTCGGCACTATAACTTTGGATTATCTTATCTAATTTATACCCAGCTCACATAGTCACATATTAGAACCATCTGATTTGTGCCAAGTATTTGTCCCTAGATTATTTTGACAGCTCATATTAAATGGACCAAAGAAATTAAATGTAAAATGTTGAAATATTATATGGTACTACTTTTTTTTGTATGAATTTTTTTTTCCAATAACTAGTCTAGCAAAGGACCCAGTGCAAAATGAAAATGTAGAAGACTTTGTTCGAACATCATTAAGACTTTCAAAATGGCAATGACAAAGCATTAAACCAAGCAGCGGACCTTCTGAGCACAGGGCCTTGCACTCCTTATTGTACAGGCAATACACACTCACGTGAAGTTGCTCTCTTATTAGCATTTCTGCTGCTTCTAGTCAGGAATATCTTGCAGGCAATGAAGAAAAGACACAACGTGGAAATCAGTTTATCTGAGCCAAGTTGAAAGGGAGCTTAAGGGGAACTTCACAGCAAAATCCTAATGGCTTTCTTCTACCCTTCCCATTCCACGATAGACTATGGAACTTGACATGTTTCTAGTTGCTTGCTCCCCATGAAAGAATTACATTGGTGTTCACAGTTATTTTTTATCTGGCACAAAATTGGTCTAAGCAATATACATCCAATAATGTTTTCTTTATGTCAGTTTGAACAAACATGCATGTGTTTGATAGCATTTAATAGGTTTCCAAAAAACGGCATTTTTGCATGTTGTGTTAGATACATTTTAGGTGTTCAGGTAAGTTGATGAAACCAAAGGACATGTGGTTCCAGAGAACTTTGAACTGATGTTCTCTGAAATAGTGTGCCGAGTTGTTTGCAAGTGCAAAGCAGTGTCTTCTATGCCCTATGGACCTGGACTAGAAATAGCATACACTTTTCATTTTATACTTGAATTTGTCTTTTTAGGGATGCAAGTTTTGGAATGGAATGGAATTCCTTTAACTTCTAAAACATACGAAGAAGTGCAGAGTATCATTAGTCAGCAAACTGGGGAAGCAGAAATATGTGTAAGACTGTGAGTTTTTCCCCATCTTTTTGTTTCCATTTTTTGGCTATTCATGGCTCTTTTAATTTAAAATTGTTAAGGTGGAACCTTTGCCAGTCAGCAAGATTTTCTGTAATCAGAAAATAAAGAGAATACAAGTTTTATAGATTTCTTGTGTTCAGAATCAAAGTTTAAAGCATAGAAGGAATTCAGATAATTTTGTCTCTGACTAATGTCAATAGCTCTCCCCTTTTATACTTTTATTGAAACATGCTTCATATAAGTGAAAACCGAAACCCATTTAGATTTCATGGATGTGTAAGGTATTTCAAAATGAACTTACATTTAATCCATAAAGATTTCACCTTAAATTATCATTTTAATCAGCTGACTTTTAATGGCATTGCCAATATATATTTGATTAGAAGGGTGAGCATGCTTTGAAATTGCTTTATATCATTAACCACTTCTCATTTACCTACTTAAAAAATATTCAGGGTAGTTGGGGAAAGAGCCTTTTGTCTCAGGCTTCCTCAAATTCTTTCTTAAATTTTTTGTTTTAATTTTTAGGGACCTCAATATGCTCTCAGATTCTGAAAATCCCCAGCACCTGGAACTTCATGAACCACCAAAATCTGGTAGGTGAAAGCAATCTGCTTTCAACTGTGAGTAAAAATGTAGACATGGAAGTATAGCTGCTCCTTCACTTATTAATACAATGGGGTTACACCCCAATAAGCCCATCATAAGTTGGGAATATCCTTAAGTCAAAAATGCATTTAATACACCTAACTTCCCAAACATCACAGCTTAGACCAGCCTACCTTAAATGTGCTCAGAACACTTACATTAGCCTACAGTTGAACAAAATTTCTAAAATAATGCCTATTTATTATAAGTTGTTGAATAGCTCATGTAACTTATTATGTGTATCACTTTTGCACCATTGTAAAGTGGAAATCGTTAAGTCAAACTATCAAAGGTTGGGAACAATCTACAATTATTGAGGCAATGTAGCTGTAGATAAAGATATAAACATAGATATAGATGAAAATAAAGTGATAGACTGATGGATGTTTATATATATTTATCTAATGGTAAAGAAGATCAAAAGCATTGTAGCTATATTTTTTTTAGCATTCTAGGGAAAAACACATTTGCATGTTAGACCCATTAAAGAAATGTATATTAAATTCTTGTTGTGTGATTTCACATTTTTTCATTTAGGTCAAATGTGAGATTAAAAATATCACTTATTCCTTCCTTTAACAATTATATATTGAGCACTTCCTGTGCATTCTGAGTCTGGGTTACTACACTAAATAAAGAGACCAAGGCCTCTTGAAACGATCATACATCTGCAAATGTAAATATGCTCTTGGAAATTCCCCCCTTTGAGAAAGTTATAGTTAAGATTTAAAGAAGGAGAAGTAGCTGGTCATACAAATTATGACCAAATTATGAATAAAATGGAATATTTTATCTTCATACAATTTCTTATGTAAAGCATTAAAAACATTTCCTGAAGATGGAATAGGAAGCTCAATTTCCCTCTATAACTCAGAATTCTTTTACTCTTCTGTGATCCTTCTGGACTTCTAAGAAATAGATACATAAAGGTACAATTATTTATGTATTTTTAATTGTTTTTATTTATTTTTTAAAAGTAGGTTGTAATGTAATATTTTGACTTTGTCATTTAAATTCGAATCAGTTCCATGGTGTTAAGTACCTATGAAATCCAGGGGCGTATAAAGCCTTTTTATTTTGTTGTAGTGGATAAAGCAAAGTCCCCAGGGGTGGATCCTAAGCAACTGGCTGCAGAGCTCCAGAAGGTTTCGCTACAGCAGTCGCCGCTGGTTATGTCCTCCGTCGTGGAAAAAGGATCTCATGCTCATTCAGGCCCTACATCAGCAGGATCCAGTTCTGTCCCCAGCCCCGGGCAACCAGGGTCCCCCTCGGTGAGCAAAAAGAAACACAGCAGCAGCAAGGTGAGAAGTGCGCCGTGATCTTTAAGTTGCTTTCTAGTTCCACCTTGTTTAGACTAGCAGACAGGAAACACGATATCATTTTCTAAGATGTTATGATTTCTCATTTCCTAATTATCTACTGAAGCAAGAAAAAAAAACCCAAAAACAAACAGACCAGTTTTCCATTTCTGCATTCTTATGAGTTCTCTGTGATACCCCTAACAACTAAAAATGATCCATAAGTTTATTCTCTATGTTAAATCTATAATAGTTAGGTTTGTGTGCTCTTGTCAAAAAGCTGACTGACTGTTTAAAAAAAAAATAGGTTACCAATAATCACACTTTGCTTTTTTTTTTTTGTCTCACTTTTTTTTTTTTTATCTCAGTTATTCCACAACTTTCCTCATTGAAAATCAAGGATATCTGGTTTTAGAAAGCTCCCATCTTTAATTGAGGGGTAAATAGCTTCAGGACTTGTGTGGTCCTTCTTTTTTCTAGATTCGGTTTTCTTTCCTTGAATTTTAAGTAGTAAAATAATTATGAAGTGAATATCATTGTTCATAACTGACATTTTATCCTTGGTAACCAGAGCATAATTTCAGTGCTAATAAATGACTGTTCATATAATGGAGTTGAAGGAATAAAGGATACCTGGCTTAAAAAATTTAACACATAGCCCTTAACTTTGCTAATGATTACATTAGTATTTTCTGTAATTATTTCATAGAATAAGACCTGGTATATAGCTGAGTCCTTTTGATTGCTCTCATTTCTAGGCTAAAAATTTAAAGGAAAACTTGGCAAAATAAGTACATACACCTAAACATAAAGAATCTTTTCCAGTTAATTATTAAAACAAGGCCAATATATAAGATGTAGGGGGGCTAGGGCCTTTTTGTAGAGTGGTAAACTGGCCTCCATTTTGGGAAATGTCTCCCTAAATTGATGCCACATTCCACATTGTCTGTAATTCTATAAGAGCTGAGGTCAGGTTTGTCATCTCTCCTTTTCTACAAATATTTCATTGAAATGTAACAAATTAGCAATTAGTCATGGATTCAGCAGTATGAATCAATTTACCAGATCACATTCCTATTTTTAAGGTTCTACTACTATAAGGAACTAATTAAGGAAATGAGAACTCAAATAGAATGGGATGGAATTATAATGGAGTGTGAGATCTTAGAAAGTGATTGCCTGCTATCTCAGTCTAGAAGGGAACAGGAATACCCAACAAAGGAGTATAAGCATGGATTTCATAACTCCTTTCTGCTAGGCAGCTGTTGTATAAAAAAATACATATTTGTTTATTCCTCCATAGATCTTTAAATCCTATGAATATTTAAATAGAGTACATTGAACCAAAGCGTTCATTTTCTTAAGTAATTGAAAATACATTATTGCGGTATAAAATTATAGCTTCAAACCAGGCTTAACAAAATGAAAAACAGATTCATGTGGTTATAAAATTAAACATGTATTGAGAAATATATGCAGACAGCATAATCTGAAACAGACAAATGGGTGAAATATATTTTCCAGGCAGTGTGCTCTGACCAAATAGAAATTAATTTCAGGAGGAAGTTGAAATGGTAAATTCTATGAAGGGTTTATCTATTATAATGTATGTTTTTAATATTACAGCCTACTGATGCAACAAAGGTTGTCTCTCATCCAATTACAGGAGAAATTCAGGTATGAAAGTTTTGTTTTGTTTTTAATCATCATTATGCAATCTTTTCTGATTATTTCCACCCCCTGGTCTGTTGAAGTTGTAAACACTGTTAGAACCTTTTCTGTTTTAAAACACATACAGATATAATAAAGGGGAAAAGTACAATTGCACAGAATAGTACTTTAATACAAATATATCTTTTCTGAAATCTAATTATATCTTTGGAATTAGATACCTTAAAACCTGCATGAAACCTTAGTAGAATTAATAAATTTTAGGTCTCATTTCCTTTATGTTTGTTGAATGTATTTCCAACAGGACAGATTCTCCTGGAAATTTGAAGTTTCTTCTTCGAGAGTTCCATGAGTTTAATGCTGTCCTTTGGCTAACAATTGTTAAATACAATTGTTAAATAATTGTTGAACAATTCTTTTAGAGCTGTGTGTGTTTTTTTACTGGGGGGTGGGAAGGAGGATCATGACTAATTTTAAATCTTTGAAGTCATTTTAGTGGATTTTAACCAAGAAAATAGAAAAAAGTAGTGTTAATCCCTCCTTTTAGTTCTGTGTATGTGTGTTTCTGTGTTAGTGTAATATATTGTAACATGTATTTCCTACTGTGCATCACAGTAAAAATATTAGAAAATTGTGGTCTAGATGATAGCAAAATGTAGTTTAGAGTAGATAAGAAATGTCCCATAGAAAAAAATTAACACAATATAAAACAATAACTTTGAAGATAGTAAGTTCCCGATAAAGGAATGAGAACACCGAGTCTTGGCTGCAACTCCAACACATTCTGGAGGAAATGTGCATGAAAGACTTCACAAAGGATAGCAGAGATTTGACCTAATTTGAGAAAAAGCGGTGAGAAAAGGGAGTGCGTTCCTGGAAGAAGAGAAGGTATGGGGAAAGGTTCTGCTGCCAGACAGGCATGAAATGATGGAGGCAGCTTTGCTGCCGTGAAAGGGTCTTGTCGAGAGAAGGTGGAAAGAACCTTCAGTGTGAGCTGAGGGGGAGTGAGCCACTCAATAATAAAATGATCAGTAAACATTTCAGAGTAAGAAAAAGACTAATTAAAAGGACTATGTAATAAAAACTCATTCAGCAGAGGCCAACAGGAAGTATTACAAAGGGGCTGACAGGCAAAGTAGTACATTAAGTGACTGTCCGACCCAGCAGGATGGAGCCTGATTGCGGATGTTCTCTCAGTCTGGCTGACCCACTGCTGTTTCCCACTCCTGGACCAGGCCCTGATTCTTCATTTCAGACAGAAAGAAAAGAAGAAGAAAAAGCTAGCTTTCCTGATTCACAGTTTCTTTCTCTCGTTCTCTTTCCCGTTTTTAAAAATACTTCTTGCTTCTGGACCAGTAGTTGCTGTGGTTTTTGTTGTTGTTGTTTGTTCTCATGTTTTCTTTTCCCTTGTGCAGTAGTGTTTAATTCTATTGTAGACATTTATACTAAAAACATTCCTTCATAATTCTTGGGGTATTTTTTCCTTCCTTTTTTTAAACCCCCTTATACGTTGGCTTCAACTCTTTTTTTTTTTCTTTTAGCAAAACCTTATTCTAAGGAACACCTTGTGTAGACACCCAAACAATGACTGCCAGCACCTGAGTAGCTCTGGGTGAGGATTACTGGGGACAGGCATCTCCTTTTCTCTTGGCAGTAACCTGTCAGCAATGCTAAGTGTTCTCTAACCCCCTGCAGAGCACATTTCAAAAAGCACTCTCTTGAAGCCTGCAAGTTTTCATTTCAATAAATGGTTTTGGAGGGGGGGGAAAAAACACCACAAGAAATAGTTTTGGTGCTTTATCAGTTAAAAATGGACTTTACGGCTGGCAGAGAAAGGAGAAAATAGGAAAGAACTTCTTAAAAATTTGGAAGCTGTTCTGAATCTCCCTGAAATTAATTTCAGAGTAATTGTATAGTTCTGTATTCATTGTAGCACGCAGTTACTGCAATTCTAAACTTCCCAATGCTCCTCTTCCTTCACAGCACTTTGTTTCATGATGCCCAGACTCTGGGCTTTTCTGTGTAGAGAAAAGTGATTGAAGATTCCTTTTTTTTGGCCATAAAACATGATAACCAGATCAAAATTTTGCTAAAGTTAACAATTATTTTAATTATGGAATTTTAGATAAAGTTTGGCTCATCTGAATTATCTCATTTTCAACATAACTATTACATAACTGTTTTTGTATGATTTTAAAATTTGTTAGTATTTTCTGCTTTGAAATAAAAATGTTTTGCTTTTTGTAAGAACATTAGTGGTTACTTCACTTATTTGGAATCATGCAGACTTCTCAAATATTTATTAGAAATATAAATATTTTACTATTCAGTGACAATTTTGTAACAGTTATTAAGCATCTACGGGGCGATGCCTCTTTCCTCTTCAGCTTCTAAAATTGAAGAACAAGATTTGATTATCTTAGCCTCTCACTCTACTCGAAAAATAGCAGAACAGAAAGAAAAGCTTCAGTTTAACATTGCATAATGTAATATAGGACGAGGTACATTTTACACCTTCTGAAATATTCCTGCATTTCAGTAGTGATAACTTTATCTTTAAAAAATGATTCCACCCACTGCTAATTATTTGGTGAAATGCAAATGACATTTTCTAATAAGTGTATCAACTAGTTAATTTAATTTCAAAATTCCAATAATTGTATGCATGAATGTTAAACATTTACTCTTTTCCTAGAAGTAGATATTTCATTTAAAAATGCAACTAGAATCCAGTGTATGATTTTCCTTCTAAATGAATTTTAAACAAGCCAGGACTTTTACCTCAGAAAAAATGAATGGCATTTTTGCTAGTCATTAACATATGCCTGGGAACTCCCAATTAAATTATGCATTTAATGGTCTGTTCAGTTTCAAATAAAATGGAAATGAGGATTGATGCTTCTTATGAGAACAAAAAAGAAAATCCTTGTCAAATCTCGACTGGTAATGTTTTTAAAATAAAAACAAAAACAAAATAATATTGCCAAATATGTTCCTATCTCTTTAAGCTTCAAATCAACTATGATCTTGGCAATCTCATAATACACATTCTCCAAGCAAGAAACTTAGTCCCTCGAGACAACAATGGTTATTCTGACCCTTTTGTTAAAGTGTACCTTCTTCCAGGGCGAGGGTAAGTAAACAAACAATTTCTTCTAAGTAACGCATCCCCTTATTTAAAAAAGAATGATATAATATCTCCCAGTCTCTAATTTTAAAGAGTTTGATGTCATTTCCTTACTTTTATCCACATGAAATATTTATTCAAAGGTAGCAGATCAGGTGGAATTAAAATGTATAACTAAGCCTTAAAGGATTCTAGGAGAGCCTTTAGTCACAATAAAGCCTGCCTCGGTGAGAGAGAGCACATCAGCGATTACATTCTGGAAGCCAGTTCTGCTATGGCCAATCAGATAGTGTGTGAAATCATTTAGTGAAATTATGTGTGTGGGATTTCAAAATGACCTTGCATTCCCTCATTTATTTACAGAACCAATGTTCAGGGACACATGACTTAGTACTTTATATCGAGGGACATATTGATATATTATCCAATACCATAAATGTTCTTTAAGTGATGTGTCGATGCATCCTTAGTCACATGCATATTTCAAATCAGGTTTTTAAAAATACTAATAAAATAAGATAAAAACAAGCCAACTGAAATGTCTACTTTGGTAAACAAAAGAAAATTATCTCTGAATCTGTTGTGTGATATATAAACTGTTCATATAAAGCAAACTCTTTATGGAGATATTTAATTTTTGCATAATAAATGGAAATTTTACATGTTCTAATATATAAATCAATAGTCAAGGATGGTTTCAAAACAGTGACTTGGACCCAGCAGATTGTTATACGGTATATGAACAATTTATATTAGCCAAATTAGCATAATGGAAACATAAGTAATCAACAAAAATTTTGGATTGGTAACTTGAAAATTCTGGTTTTATTTTTGTTCATTTTGTTTATTTTTCAATTTAATTTAAGGAGTGACATTCACATATTACTTTTCACTTGGAAATTTTCTATTTCCTAGCCAGTCATCTTTCATTTGGCCCACATATATGCCCTCTATACAGATTATTTTAAAGTAGATGTCAACTATATAACTTTTTTCTGCAAATATTTCAGAATATGTTTCTAAAAGGCAACTCATTTCAAAAATAATCATAATACCACCTATAACCGTATTAATTTTTTTAAAAAATACATAAGTAAATGCCTTAATTTCTCCAATTGCTTTATGATATTTTGCTAGTTTGTATGATGGCCTAATTGATAATTATAGAACATTTTACACATCAATAACATAATACATATTCTTTTCAAGTGTATATGGAGCATTCACCAAGATAAAGTATGTTCTGGCCTATAAAATAAACCAACAATTTAAAAGCATTGAAATCATACAAAAACTTGTTTATGACTATATTTGGTTTGTTTGAATAGGATCCAAATTAGAGTTATGCCTTGCATCTGAATCTGCTATGTGCTAATTATATCACCACAGGCAGATCACCAAATCTTTGAGATTTAGTTTGCTTATTGATATTGAGAGAACCAAGGTAGGCAGAGCCATACTTTTTAGTTTGTCAAGGGAATCAAATTAGATAACATTCAGAAAATAATTTGAAAAATGCCAGATGCTCTAACAAATTCAGTATACAGCCTTTAATTTTATCCTACCTAATAACTTTATTTAGAAACATATCACTGGTATAAATTAAGTAGTTTTAATTTATTTAGTTAATTTATAAAGATCACCAACTAGCCATATAGTGCAAGAAAAGGGAATTTTTATTTTATGGCAATTCATTTATATCTTTAGGTACTAGTTATAACTGTAACTTGACTAAATGTTTAAAACATGAGTATAACAACAAACTGATAACTTAATTCTGCCTTTGATTTGGGTCATTAGACCTTCAGTGTTATTTAATCAGAGTACAATGGGATAAGAGGAAATCACTGCCAGGGGTCTATCTCTGTTTAACATTTGCTAATGAATTAAAATAAAACACTGTCATTTAGTTTCTATCTTTGATAATATCCTGGAGTATCATCTTTCAAACAATATTAGAGTACCTTTCTCTTATTTATTACAAGACTATGTTTCAGTTAGACTATTACACACTTGAATAAGCAGAAAGGACAGGCAGGTTACCTAAATATGTCAGTCCATTCTGGGGTAGCAGGGTAAGGTGGGAGCTATTGTGAAATGAAGAGAGAGATTCCCACCCAAAGCCATCCTCATGTAGTTTGTCAAACAAAGCATTCTGCTTGGTGGGATTTGGCCCGAAGGCAGCTAATATGCTACTCCTGTTCAATTTCTAGTCCTTTATTAAATTACTCCCAATTACTACAGTGGCTGAGGCCTCGGGGTTGATTGCACTTGTGAGGTATTATTTCTGCTTTAGTTAAAAGATTATTTTCTGCCTCATGTAATTTTGTAGGTTATAGTATTGCTCCTTAATTATTATTCTCATGTTTTCTTCCTTACTTCTGTCCCTAACTTTTTTCTTTCTGTCTTTCCTACTTCCTGTCGTATCCTTCACTTGCGCTCTTGGAATCAATGCAGTCAAGTCATGGTTGTCCAGAATGCAAGGTAGAGTTGGCTCTCTTTCAGTGTTAAGACAGTACTATGCTGTACTGTTTGGAGTTTTTCATTTTATTTTTGCCTTTTCCTGAAAATACACCTACAGTTCAACTTGGGCTATAGTTGTTATTTTCTATATGTTAGTGTCTGTGAATTAGACAAATAGCAAATTGTTCCAACCAAAACATTAAGAAATAGTTTTAGCAGATGTATGCAATAGCACATAAAAAATATATAAAACATAAAAAGAGTATGAATAAGGAAATGTCACCCTGAAATTAGGCATATTGCAAGTTTTGCTTGTTCTTAATACATTTTTAATTTCAGAGACGAAAGGAGAGGGAGAGAGAACTAGAAACATCAATAATGAGATTCATTGATCAGCTGCCTACTGCACGCCCAGCTAGGGATCCAGCCCACAACTCAGGCATGTGCCTTGACCAGGAATTGAACTGTGACTTCCTGGTTTATACATCAGTGCTCAACCACTGAGCCACATGGCTGTGCACAAAAGTTTTTCTTCATGATGCTTACACTGAAATGCATGTAGCCTCCCATGTGGTATCATGCCTTACGTACACCTGGGTGTTCCATTACAAATTTTAAAAATCTAATCATTCTCCAAAGGAATGAACTGATCTTCTGGATATCTATTCTAGATGTGTATCTCATCTTAAAGACAATAGTTGCTGGTCTTTATCCTTCACTTAGACCTTGATATGGAAACATTTCCACGCCAGGATACCTTCTTCACAACAAAATGATTGCCAAGCACTATAGGATGCCATAACCTGCCTGCTAGAGCGTTAGGAACAACACATGAGCATCTTTTGTTTGCCAGTAGTCAGAAACTGTGGCATCATTACCTTGTCAGCTTGGGCTATCTCTCAAAACACAACCAAAAGTTTCCATGGGCACATCTCATTGCATTATAAATGAAATGTGTTATTCAGTTAGGGAAGAGAATCTTGTACTAGCTGTAGCAATAAGGTTATGGGAATTTTAAATCCACCAGAATATTAATGGCACAGGATTTGTTTTTGTCAATGACATTAAAATTTGACATTTTTACTAATCCTGACAAGCTGTGCCCAAACGAGGCTGTTTCTGGTTTTTAAAGGCTTAAATGTTTAAGTATTTCAAAAAATAAGATTATTCACCAAGTCTGTCCACTGCCCAGAAACTTTTTGTTTCCCTGTAGCTCCATAATTATGGCAAATAGTAAAATACGACTCTGTGAAAGGTTGCTTGTTCGGACTGGCCCTGTCATCTCAGGATGCCATCCGGATCTCAGACTGACACGCAAAATTACTGATTCCAAAGAGGTAGTATCATTTTGGAACAGACGTTATCAGTCACTTTATTTAGAATCTTGCTGTCTTTTAGCCAGAGAAACTGGGGGGAACATTGTCAGAATGACAGCGCTTGTCTACATTTACCTTAGACGAGAACATGTTTCCTGAGTGTAAGTAATGATTGAAATAGTCTAGGCTGTGTTGGATTGCAATTTAGAAGCTCTAGAAATCACTTTCTCATCCTATATTTCACCTAGAAGTCACTTTTATCCTCATCTCTGAGAACTGGCAATGAAAGAAGGAATTATAATGGAAAGGCAATGACATTATATATTAGGCTGAAGGGGTTAGTCAGTAAAGTCTTTTTAAAAAATTGCATTTGGATTTCTCTAAAACTGTTCCTTTTCTGCTAGATAGGACTTACAACAGGCCTCCTCCCGGGCCTTTTGTGAAACACCTGGAACAATATACCAAAAGTGATCATGGGCGGCACTTAATAAGTTCTCAATAAATGGTTGCTGTTGTTACTGCTAATAACATGTACAATAAGCTTCGTGTAGCTAATGGTCAGTTATCTCTGGGGGGGCGGGGGAGATACAGAATGCTTAGGCTACTCAATTACCTCAAATTATTTTTACGAATATAGAAAATCAGACATCTTTCTTTTCTTCAATTTCAATAACAAAATGTAGCCCTGGGTGGTGTTGCTAAATGGTTAGAGCATTGGCAGAGCATCGCGGGGTGATGGGTTGGATTCCTGGTCAAGGGCACACACCTTGGGTGAAGTTTTGGTCTCTGGTCCTGGTCAGGGAACGTGAGGGAGTGAGGGAGGCAATCAATAGATGTGTCCCCCTTAAACTTCTCTCTCTCTCTCTCTCTCTCTCTCTCTCTCTCTCTCTCTCTCTCTCTCTCTCTCTCTCCCTTCCACCTGCCTACCTCCCTTTTCACTTTCTCTAAAAAAGCAATGGAAAAGTTATATATCCTATGGTGAGGATTAATAAATAATAATACAATAATAATGTAATACATTTGTCATTTCAGTGGTCCAGGTTTTTTTGTTTTGTCTTCTTTTATTTTCTCTTTCCACCCTCTGCACAATATACTCATAATCTCAGAAAACCCAAATGTTGGCCAAGACAAGGCTAAAGAAAGAAAAAGAAAGAGTCTGAATAGCCATGAATTCAGTACTTGTCCCTGAATAATGGATGGATAGAAATAAGGCTCTGTGAGAGATCTCATCCTGGTTTTCTTTCAGTACACTTTGGACAAAGTACATAATTTTCCCCATTAATGAAAGTTTCTATCACTGAAGCTGGTTTTAGCTATCATGATACCTGTAAACCTAGTTCCTGGATGGACTTTCTCTAAACATCCTTGTTAGCATATGTGATTTCCACAGACCCAGATGTTGTATATATTTACAATTTGAAGGCCAAAAATTATTTCACTGTAATGAATTGTGAAAGAAAAAAAAAGTATGTTTCAAGAATGTTTTAGGGGTGCATCCAATAAATACTTAGCACAGACTGCGCCAGGTACTGTGCTAAGTTTGGGGGTTAGAGTTGACACGCAGACATTGTCTTTAATCTCAGAAAGCAGAGGAAAATAAAGTGATGGTCCATAAACACACCATTACACAGAAAAATGGCTTATAAAATGGGATGTGCTCTGAACATCTTCTAAATTGAAAGAAGAGTAATTTTGGAAAAATTATATACATTTATTGAAAATATACTTTTGCATTAAAGGAATATATATATATATATTCAATAAAGAAAACTAAATAATTTTTAAAATGAGGACCTTAAATTTCAGTTAATTTTATAAAAGTTAAATTTAAAGAAACCATCATATTCCATTCTCCATTATCAAGTCATTGATCAATTTTATATATGATCTTTTTATCAAAATTTTAAATTAAAGAGAGAAACTCAGAGAACTGTTTTTAGCTGGATTAAGGTAGAATGATTATGTTTTAAATATATCATTTTCTGTCTATCTTAAAAGCATATCTGCTTATGACTGGCCAGTAAGAAAAACAATAAGGAAAAAAAAATCAAAACTTCACAAGAATGAAGGTTTAGTTTTTTTAGTTGTGTGTGTTTATATATACATACGTCCCATATTACCCATATTAATAAATTGATTTTTTATTTTCATTCCTTGTTAGAAAACTTCTTTGATTATTAGATATAGATAATTGTCCTAATATAATATCATTATGTAATCTTCCCAGGAGGGAATGTAGTGTGTTTACTAGACAAGTAAGAAAAAAGAAATTGAGCTCCACTATTTTCTCAACCTGAATTTTTGCTCACGTTTAATCCCCCTGCTTATCTGGCCATCTTCAATTTGTACTTGTGTAATGTGGCAACAAGCCCATTGGGATCATGCTCAAGATGGTCAGGACATGATAATTATTTTTAAAAGACACTCAAGTGTTACTAAAGGAATAGTTTTGTCTGGCCATCTCTGCGTGTCAGGAAATTCAAGTGCAAAAAGACTGCAGAGGAATTCATTGGCATTTACACTGGACAGCCAGGGATGATGGAGAGGGCTCCAAATAAAGTGTGTTTTCCTTCACACTTTACATTGATTCTGGAGAGAATTGGAGAACCAACTCATTATTAATATTAAGCTACTCTATTAAAATAAACATCTAAATTTTTGCCTAAACAATTTTAATTATTTGAGTACATCTGGGAAAAAGTAAATATTTATAGTAATTGTCTTTAATTCCACAACACTCCTAGGATATACCAGTCAGAATTTTCCTAAGCAACTCTAAAATTTACCTATTTTTTAAAAATATTTTATATGTACATGCATGTATCTAAGTTATATTATCTATATGAAATATATATTTAAATAGGAGATATGTATATTTAAATTGACTTTAAAAATTTTAAATTGTAGGATAAAGTAAACATACTAGACACTACTCTAGGGCAAATAAAGCTAAAGGCATCCAACATATTTTTACATTTTCATTGTGCATTTAACTTAAAGTTAAAACTGATTCAAAACAAAATATCATCTTAAAATATCTGCATGATATTTTAAGATGATATTTTGTTGACTATGAAGTCATCAGTTAAAATGAATAATCAAGGTAACTCTTTCTTTTCTTCTAATTCAGTGCTGAATACAAGAGAAGGACTAAATATGTTCAGAAAAGTCTTAATCCTGAGTGGAATCAAACAGTAATTTATAAAAGTATCTCCATGGAACAGGTATGCAATGATTATATTCTATGTGACAGATTTAGTATAATATATGAATACTAATGACAAAATTGTTGAAAGACTATAATCTAAATTTCAGAGAGAAAGACAAATAGAAGAGGTACATCCATATGCAATAACTTACAAATGAGTTGTCTTTTGAAATGAGGTTTATTATTTGCCTTCTGGAAGATTTCTAAATTGACTATGAAGGTGAAGCTGGATATAAATTGTAACATGGGTTTTTGAATTTAAAATAAGTTAAATTCACCTGCATAAATAAGAAGCACTATTGTATTTTTTGGCAATTTATTGAAACCAAGAAACTCTAATCCAAATACTTTATCTAAATAACCTGGACAGTTTTCCAATCTATGAATCCCATGTATTTAAAGTGTATTTTTAAATTCTAAATTCTACTGTTAAATATGGGGGTAGATTAACAGGATATTAATAAAATTTACAAAATAGTGAGGTCTCATGATATTATACTAGGTTGGAGTATGAAGTCATTGATATTTTAGATAATATTAAGTATAAACCCACATAATTTTAGATAATATTTCAAGTATTTTATGTAAATGAAGATTTTTAAGGAAGTAAAAATAATATGAGTGTAATGAAAATTTATGATGAAAAACGATGTGAATGACATTTTGATTTGAACTGTAGCTCAAGAAGAAAACACTGGAGGTGACAGTCTGGGATTATGATAGATTTTCTTCTAATGACTTTCTTGGTGAGGTGAGCCTTTGCTTTTCTTTTCCTTGTTTGCTTTTGTTATAAACTACCAATTAGTGCCTTATACAAAGCATGAAGTTTATAAGATTAGTACTTCTTGATAAAGTTCTTTGCTAGATAGAATTTATTTTCTAATTACTCTTAAAGATGGATAGCAACTTCAGAAATGGTTTTTACTTTGCCACTTGATGTAATTTATAATTAATTTGTAAGATGAAATTATTTTTTACTCTTTACTTTATCACACAAAATACACATAATAGTCAAAGAATAACCATTCAATTACCACCATGAACATTATTATTTAAACATTAAATACGAGTTTAAAAATTTTTGCAGTTCATTTTATCCTTATAATATATTCCACTAGGGATGGAGGTAGAGTCATGTTGCTGTGTTTCAAAATTTTATCGAATAATCTCTCACCAACTGAGTACAGAGTTAAATTCATTTATTTTAACTTGCCTTTGATTTTTAAAGGCTTGCTTTTTCCAAATTTTGTATTGAATTTATTGGGGTGACATTGATTGATAAAATGATATATCAATTGGATAAAAAGATATATAATCATGATTTAAATTCAAATTATTATGTTAAAGATTTAAAATAAGTATATTATAGATAATAATAAAAGTGTAATATGCAAATTAGACCAGACATCCTCCCTTATGACCTTCTGGACAAAGCTGGGCCTTCGAGGGAAGCCTGGGTCCCAGGTGCCAAAGGGAAATTGTTGCTTTGGCAGCCAGGGGAAGGAAGGCCTTACTCTTGCATGAATTTCATGCATCGGGCCTTTAATTATATTATAAAATGTCTAGAATTTTTTAAATGCATTTTCAGTTTATTTAATTGCTATTTCTCACTGCATGTATGAATGATGTGACATTTTACATTCTTATTTCTTGCAAGTATCCAGAGAAAAATCTTTCAAATATTTTAAGAAGCAAACTAGAAGAGAAAACAACAAAAAGTCTTATATAAATTCTTAAGGAATCTAACCTAAACATAAAATCTGGTAGCATAAGTCAGATCCTGTGATTGTTTTAATCATATTACAAAAATACATATTTTTGTAAGTGACCTTTGCTTAAAGCAGAAGTTATAAATTATTGTTTAAAAAATCATCTCCAAAAAGATATAATATATATATATATATATATATATATATATATATCCTTTTGATAGAGACAATAGAACACATTTGTGTAGTCTAGGTTGCATGAGGTCTGGTTTGATTCCTAGAGTCTCCGCCTAGACCATTTGACCTTCGCCTGTAGGCCCCATTCTGGTACAGCCACATGGACTAATCTTGATCTTAGACAGGATATAGTGTTACATCTGACTTAATGGCCCCTATTAAAAAGCTAATTTATTGAAGATCTTATAATGTATTATATTAACATGAACATAGAGAGTATCTTCATTTTGCTGATGATATTCTTTTTAATATCTTATCAAATCTAAGATGCAGCAACTATAAATCCCATTATTATTAACCACTAAGAAAGTAAAAATGCTGCCAATTCAACATGACACAGTGCTTTCTCATCATAAACTTAGTTATATCCCTATTTCAGATGTGAACTAAGTATACTTTAAAATAGAGGGAATATGTTACTAATATTTCATTAGTTTCATTCTTTTTTAATTTTGTCCCTCTTGTACCTAAAATCAAGCTTCAAAAATGCTAGACACTTTAAGGACTAGAATGTGTCCATTTAACCAAGTTTTATTTGATGAAGCAGTTCTTCACTCTACCTTTTTATAACATCACCAAAAATGCAATTAATAGTTAAAGATTTTATTCATCAAACATTCATTATGTGCAAGTTCTTTTTTTTTTAATGTATTTTATTGATTTTCTACAAAGAGGAAGGGAGAGAGATAGTTAGAAACATCGATGAGAAAAAGTCATCGATCAGCTGCTTCTTGTACACCCCCTACTGGGGATATGCCCGCAACCAAGGTACATGCCCTAGACTGGAATCGAACCCGGGTCCCTTCAGTCCCCAAGCCGATGCTCTATCCATTGAGCCAAACCGGATTCGGCAAGTATATGCAAGTTCTTATTCCCAACAGCATGGGTGAAGGCAAATTAGGAAGACAACCTCATCATCCTTTGGTTTGTGTCTTTGAATAAATTTCAGATCACAGAATAAAGTAATGAATTTATTATAGCTTAATTTATATATTGACTTATTGTACTCTTTTTCAGGTATTGATTGATTTATCTAGCACATCTCACCTCGATAACACTCCCCGGTGGTATCCGCTCAAAGAACAGACTGAAAGCATTGATCATGGCAAGTCCCATTCTGGTCAAAGCAGCCAGCAGTCCCCAAAGCCATCTGTCATCAAAAGCAGAAGCCATGGTATCTTCCCTGACCCGTCCAAGGGTAGGAGATGTTTCAAGTAGAAAAAGCTTTTGTCTTTTTGTTCATTCAGTATCTTTTTTAATATGAATACCTGTATACTGATTATATTTTGAAGGCTGAATTATATTAGAAAGTATTTAATATACTATTATGCAAAGAATAAGAAGAAATGGGATATAGACTCAGATGAGCTCATGATTAAGTTCATGATCTTCACTTCTCTGACTTTCCAGTTTTCAACCTGTAAAATGGAGAAGATTGGGTTATATGAGCTATTGGATCTTTTCCAACTCTCAAAATTCATATTAATATGATTTCATGAGTTGAATTGGGGTATTTCATAAAGAAAACATAAAAATTCTCAAGTGTTTATTGACTAGACATAATTATGACTTATACCTATTTCTTCTAATTATTTAAATCTCTATTTTCATAATTATATTCTCAGCCATTACATGTATTATTATACACAATTTTGCACCTTCCTTTTATATATCATATAAAAAATTTGTATGCTGACATTTACTTAAAACTTTCCTAAATATTGGACTATGATTTAAAAAACAACAACAACTAATATCAGCCTGGCTGATATATTCAGTTGTTGAGCATAGACCTATGAACCAGGAGATCACAGTTCAATTCCTAACCAGGGCACATGCCAGGATTGTAGGCTTCCAATCAATGGTTCTCTCTCATCATTGATGTTTCTTGCTCTCCCTCTCCCTTCCTCTCTGAAATCAATAAAAATATTTTAAGAACAACTAATAGTATTATTTTAAATCCTCATCTAAGGACATTTCTATTGCTTTTAGAAAGAGAGGAAGCGAGGGAGGGAGGGAGGGAGGGAGGGAGGGAGGGAGGGAGGGAGAGAGAGAGAGAGAGAGAGAGAGAGAGAGAGAGAGAGAGAGAGAGAGAGAGAGAGAGAGAGAGAGACTCCAGTATGATACTGGGCCAGGGACTGAACCCAAAAACTGGGTATGTACTCTGACCAGGAATTGAACCTGTTATCTTTTGTTGAATAGGATGATGCTCCAACCAACTGAGCAACACCAGCCAGTGCAACAACTAATCATATTTTATAAATGTTAATGCCATGCCTTGCATTTAGCAATAGGCACAGCTTTCCCAATTGAGTTAGCTTATCCTTTGGGAGGTTCATTACCAGTTACCCTATAACACAACATTAATCTTGATCATAAATTGAGTGACTGCCTATATGAAATAACCATGTAATATCTTACCTTAATATTCTGAACTACTAAATACAAATTTTTATTTTAGACCTAAATATTGCTTCCTTTTCTCCTCTCAGAGAGTACATCAACTTGAAAAGTGGTTCTTTGCCCATTAGAAAGGAATGAATTGTAAGGGCAGATGTCCTAGGAAATAGGAAACTGAGGCCATCCATGTCCAGTACCCAACTGAATTGATGTGATAAACCACTGATACAATGAATGCTACAGATTATTTAGATGGAAGAGTTTTATAGGTTAATTATGAATTCCATTTAGTCAGATCAACTTTGCCCTGAGTAGTGTTCTGGAAGATCATGAATGTAAAGACCCCTCTCTGTGACTATGCATATAAACATTCTCAAAATCACCTGAGACGAGGATTCTACAACCTCCCCTTATATTATCTCCTAGTGATTCACAAGCCTTCATCCAAGAATTCACTACATTTTTACTTACAGCTCCCCCTGTTACAATATAAGCCTATTGTCTCTTACCTGGCCCCTACTAGAAATTAGCAGAGCTGCTTTGTGAAACTATAATGTATTCATTCACATAAGGTTCGTTAGAATGTATTCTTCTCAAGATTGTCACCCATTTGCCTTTCCTCCCCAAAATTGCTTCCCAAATGTGTGATCGTATTACTGTATGGTGAGCAGTTTCATAAAAAGAGCCAAAAAAGAAACAGATGAACCTAAATCTCAAGACGGCTTCAAATGATGTGAGGCCAAGCTTGACAGGAGGAATGCTGGGCCAACTCTGACTCACGTTTTACTCTCTTGTAACCAGACATGCAGGTTCCCACCATTGAGAAGTCCCACAGTAGTCCTGGCAGCTCGAAATCCTCATCCGAAGGCCACCTCCGCTCTCACGGACCGTCTCGCAGCCAAAGCAAAACCAGCGTCACCCAGGCCCACCTGGAAGACGCGGGGGCCGCCATAGCCGCTGCCGAAGCCGCCGTGCAGCAGCAACGCCTTCAACCAAGTAAAAGACGCAAATAAATTCCTCAGCATGGCAGCTTAATGTTCATCTGTTGCCTTCCTTTCCTGCTGTCCTATCCTGTTTGCTTTCTGTCTCTGGCACATCCTGCTCACTCTGTTCTCTGTCCCTTTGTCTGTGTAAGAACTATCAGTACATAATTATGCTCTTTCTTATTTAGAGTCTTTTAATTTACATAGACTGCAGTAAAACTGGCTGTTTCTCCTCTGTCTCCACCGTCCATCCAACCTGGCTAATAGTATTTGATAGCTGTGTCTGTGGTGTTTGCAGGCAAACAACGTTGTGTGTCCTTTTTGTGTGCACTTAATTATCCTATAGAATTATAAGCACAGTGGCTGCCAGTTTTCCAGGCATTACACACACACACAAAAAAGCACACACACACACAGGCTTTTAAAGCAAATTACACACGAGATTCTTGCATCTAAAAACACTCAAAAATTTGAGGTTGGAGAGTAATTGTGACCGATAGTCAAGTTCTAGAACATAGAAGGAGAAGCCATTTCAAGCTTAAAAACTTTAATAGATAATGCATGTGGAAATGCCATAATTTCCCATGTGGAAATCTTTTTAGTCTTTTGGAAAAACAAATCTGTTGAAGAAAAGCACATGTCTTATATTCCCAAGAAAGTATATAATATTAATTATACGTGAATAAGCACATGGGATGAGGCTGAAACCTCATTAAGGAGCACAATCAAGTCCCTCCTGTTGGATCACACTTTGTATATGATAACAGAGAATTTATAGGTGGTTTTTTTTTTCTAACCATTGGAATTCCTTTGAAAGTCAACATATCAATTGAAGTCTAACAATTCATCCATTTTAACTGCTGTCTATTCATTTAACTTGTGAAAACAGTCAATTGGTAATATGAAAACATACCAAGTACAGATATTTTTACAAATGTAGGTACACTGTTACTTCCAAGAGGCATTAGCCAGACAATGGCGAGAGATGAACGTTCTCCCCTTCTCCCAGAGAAATCCTGTCCAAAGAAACAGCCAGTTTTAACCCCCTTTAGTGCTGTGCATGTGGTGTCATTATGGCATTTGAAGACACGACTTCTTTAACTAGAGCAAAACATCACCTCTGTTTGCATGACTAACATCTAAGCTGGTTCCATCCGAGGATACATACTCTGGGTTTCCATTTCACCCACACTGCCCCAGCAGCACATACAAGCGGTCAGTCTAATCATGCCAGGAAGCAGCACAGACACAGCATAGCGGGAGTCCTCCCCATTCAGAGAACTCAGTCTGATAATCTGCCTCCACCAGCCAATGGCAACCAAGACCAAAGCCAGCTAGCCCTCAGGAAGGTGATGTCCGATGGACCAGTCAAGCCAGAAGGAGGTGAGCAGAAAGGCACTATTCAAAGCACACAGCAAGAACATTCCCCAAACGTTAAAGCCCTCGCCTCTTAATTGTTAGAGATTGTCTGGTGAAATATGTTTATCCCCTTTTTTAATGTGCTTTTGTGGGCATGGCATTTCAGGACGTCACCATCACCGTGTAAGTCCCAAGATCAGCCCCATAATTATATCGACTACAGCGATTTGTATTTTTCTATGCCCTGGGCATCTCTTGACTTTTTGTTGGGAAGTAGATTAACAGTATTCATATTGCAGAATGGAATGCATGCGACTAACCTAATCTGTTCAAGCATGACTATAAATATGTTGCATTGTGATAAAACTTATATCTGCTCACAATTCGAGTTAGCATACCAGTGAATATGTAGATCAGTTTTTGTTTACATATCATTTCAAGTGTAACTTTTAAAAAATTCAGTGGATTTTGGAAATTCTTAGAGGAAAGTAAAGGGAAAAAATTGTTAATGCACTCATTCACCTTTACATGGTGAAACTTCTCTTTATCCTACAGACAGACATTTTCCACTCATGTTTTCGTAGTTGTCAAGTGTATCGTGTTGGGCATGTGAATATCCAAGTGCCTGTGTAATAAATAAAGTATCTTTATTTCATTCATAAACTATTGGGTTCTGAGCCATTGTTATATGATGCAGCTTAAAATGAGTGTGTCAGTTTTTGCTTTCTCATTTGATAACCTTGCAATAGAGTATTTATAGTCACTGCTCCATTGTTAGTGAGAGCTATAATAATAGTGATTTGGGGAACAGACCAAAGTTTGATGCCAAAAACATTATAAAATAGGTGGAAAATTATTTCCAAATAAAAGCATCAGAGCTCACATAATAAACATGTAAATAAGTAATGGAGTTGGGGGACCCCTAGGCTCTCTTCCACTCTTTCTTTTTCTCACATCTGATCTATTTCACAATCTTCTCAGAGTCCTGGATAGAGGAAACAAATTCCATGAGCCCTTGCTGTAGAGATGCATCTAAGTTTGATTCCATAGCTGTGTTCAGAAAAAAAAAGCAAGCTTATCTCTGTCCCAAATTTGACCCAACATCTGTAAAATTTTCCCTTAGAAAGAGTGCTAGTGATAGGAATCAAATGAGAGTGATTATAAAATTATCTTCAAATTCAATTCAAAACCATATATAAAATATTGTGGGGTTTGCTTTTTTAAATAGGATAGCAGTGTTTGCCCCCTAAGTCTCTTCTAGCCATAAAATACTTTGTTTTATGATTCTATGCTTTCCAGTTAAAGCCAAGCCTTAACTATTCCATAGAACTTCTCTTCATTCTCAGGAAAACTAAAAAATTTAATACACTCTTATCCCAACTAATCAGATATTTAAGGGCAATGGAAGATATATGTTAGCAATAGAAAAGCTAACCACTCTTATGTTTCTTTAATTATGTAGCTAAAATTTTTCAAAATTGGCACTATAACCCTTATCTTATTACTAGGCCTACGCTTTAGCTTAAAAAAGCAATTAGCTTAAATATTAGCATAATTCTGAATGTGCCCACCATAGATTAGCTCCAAAGCACAAATTACCCTTTCCAGTTAGCCTTACTATGGTAGTGCTTTTCTAAAGTACTCAAATTCCTCCTCTGACCTTTTTCTTCCATCAAGTAAGTTTTGTTGATTTCTTAATGGTATTCATTTTCTTCCTTCAAATATTTCATAATCATAAATATTGAAGTAGTCAAGTATTTACCTTATTTCACATTCCATGTTTAATTATGATTTAAGTACTACCATATAATATTTTGTCTGATTTTTTTCTAGATATTTTTGTTAAAAAATTGTAGCAAATTGTTTTCAATCCTCTTTCTTTGAATAATGCACTAATGGATATTCTCCTACCTTTAAAGTGCTATGATTGAATCTTGAAATCATTTTTATTGAAATTATAATCAAAAGGAAATCAATATACCATAACATAGTCTTATTTAATTTTATTTTAATAGATGATAAAGCAAATGCACTGTTTTCTAAAATATAAATATTTTATATCCCTGCTACTATAAATGTACCAGGAATATAATTCAGCCATGCATTTTTCCAAACAACTAGTGGCAAACGTAGAATTAAATTTCTATAAAATGTTGTATAATGACTTTAAAATTTAGAGAGAGAGAAAAATGATAAGAGATGTAAACATATGAAAAGCCATCAAGTTCCTGTTCACTAACTGCAGAAATAAGTATTATTACTGATTTTAAGAGATTGGATAAAAGGCTCCCATTTCAAACCTCACAAGTGAGTTCATATAGTCCCATCTGCATTCTGAAAATAATGCATGGAACTAATTCTTCATGTCTTACAAACTGTTTTGTCGCCCATCTTCTCATTTTATCACACCAAGGCGATGAGGTATTCATGGCCTATGTTGTTCTGAGTAAGCAATTTGAGAGTCAGCGGGCTAGAATAGACTATCCAGCTAGAAACTTTCAAAGTCGGCAGTATAGGTAACCTTAGTCATAAGGCCTAAGCCTTTGCTTTTTAAATACACTAGCTCCTTTGAAATAGAACTCCCCTAATTGCAATAAAAACAATTGTCATTTATGTATTTGTTTCTCACCCAAGCTCCAACACATGATTAGAGGTTTCTAGAAATGAATACAATTTAGACTTGCTGCTCTACCTACATGATCCTCTTTTCTGAAGGCTGATGATAAAGCTGCCACAAACCCTCGAAAATAAAATCCTCTCATGCACAAGCGCAATGTGGCAGGAAGCAGAACCCATGGAGGAGGCTGTGTCATTTCTGCCAAGGGTGACAGAATTGTCTCTGAAGAGCTTTTCAAGTGTTTGTGGTTTTTTTCTGTTGTTGTTTTTTTTTGTTTGTTTGTTTCTAAGATTTTCGGCAGATTTCTGCGTAAAGTTGCATGAAACATGGGTCAGGCAAATTCTTGGAGTGAGCCAAAGGAACTTTCCCTTTCCCTTCGGGGCTTGGTTGCATGCTAGGAAACCTGAGGGGGAGCATTGTGCCAGATTGTGCCAGATCATCCTGATGCCTAAACAACTCTTGCTTGTATTTAGAAATCCCTGGAAATGGCTTTTGTAAGCCATTTGTTTGGGTTGAACACAGGCCTGTTCTTTTCAGAAAGTGACACCAACCAGGGAAGAGAGTTTAAAAAGTAAAGAGGTTTTTTTTTTTTTTTCTTTTGCTCGTTTTGTAAACCACATCAAGATGAAAACAAATGGAAGCACTCCCAAAAGCTTTGCAAATGAATTTATTCAACATTCCATATATGCAATTGGAAGTTCCTGAGCTATTTTTGTTTGGTGCTAAGATTTTGGGTGAGTTTTAAGTTGAGACCCAGGAACACAGGGTGAATAGAAATGTCCCTAAAGTCTGGGCAAGAAGAGCTGTTGGGATGGGTTGATGAGGTTAGGTGAGAAGAATCATGGAATTAGTTGTGTGAGGGACTTTGAGTTTCCTAGGTGGGGCCCTATTGTAGGAGAAAAGCCTGAAGCTACTTCCATAGACCGACCCCTGCTGGAAACCACGTTCAGTGAGGCTCCCTGAAGAGCTTCATATGCTTACGTGGCCCTGAGTAAGCCATCACTCTGTGGAGCTGCTCTCTTGAGCAAGTGGTAGGG